CAGCGCCCCTGTGTCGGAGCAGAGGCGCGCCCTCCTTTAGCAGAGGATACTCTTTTCTGTAAACTTCCCTTCGCTCACCTCCAAACACTGTTACTGCCGCAGCAGCCCCAGCGTGTGTGTGTGCACCTTATCAAGCTTCCAGAAGCAGATCAGAACTTTGAGAAGTCCTGTCTCCTACCCTGGCACTGATGCAGGGATGTTAAACTCCTTACAGTTTCCATGAAGAAACCACCCTCAATTTAGCATCAAACTTGAGCAGCTTTTAAGGGAGTAAAACCTGCCTCCCATGCTGCTCTCCAGCAGCAAAGCTGAGGGAAGCTGTCTTGTGACTCAGTACCCACTCCATCACACTCACAGATACTGGCAGCCCTGCACAGTAACTATCAGTAATCTGGATTTAAAAAAAAAAAAAAAAAGAAAAAGATCTTTTAAGCCCAAATATTTCAACGGCCCTGTAAGAGCCAAAGGCCCGCAGAGGCTCTGTCAGTGAGCATTGCTACACAAGAACAAACGGCTAGGGGAGAGCATGAGGCTTTGTGGAAGGAAACGGAACACCCTCTCTAGTGATAATGCCAAGCTAACTCCCACCTTCCTAAGGCAGAGACATGCCATTCAGCTGTTCACTACCCATTCAGAAAGCACACAAGGAAAGCTCTGGGTGAGCAGTCTGTATGCTCTTTTATTATAAGTTGTTCAGTGTTATTAAAATCTCAAAATGCAGAGCACAGTTCTCTGCAACCGCAGAAAACCAGAGTATGCCACTGTGCAGAAAGAGGGCTAGTGCTTCTTGCCATAGATTGCGGCCAGCGCTTTCTGGGCACTTGAGATCTGTTGCTCTAGTCTCTCTCGAGTGGCTTTGTTAGCAGTTTTTTTCAGCATGCTCTCCATCTCCTCCACCACTGCCCGGTAACCGGCAGTGTTGTGAAACACTCGGATGGCCCGATCCCCACATGACACCAAGTAGCGGCTGTTAATGTCAAAAGCCAAGTCTGTGATGTACTGTCCGTGGACGTCGACAAAGCGCTCCTCCTCTTCTCCTCTTCGGGTGTTGTACACAACAATACTGGTACCGCTAGAGATGGCCGCCACTCGAGCATCAGGGGACAGGGCAATGCGACAAGGCTCTGTCACCTCACACTTTCCTGTCAGAAGCAGGTATGGATCCTGCTGCTTCTTATATTCCACATCTGTGTCCCAGAACTTCCACGTCCCATCCTTTGAAACAGTTGCCATCCTACAGCCAGGAAAGAATGCAGAAGTGACAGCAAGGAAAATGGGTAGTACCTACATCCTTTCCACATCTGCAAACCAGGAATCCTGCCAGGGAATGGAATACAGGTGATACCCCCCTTCTGCAAACACATTCACTCCATGCGGCACGTGGCTTATGGCTAGGGAGCTCTTTTGGGAAGCGTATGTGTTTATACACGTATGCATACATTTAGTCTTCATCCTTTTTCCAGACCAGGAAGAATGGTCACTCACCAGGAGGAAATCAATACAGAACAAGGAAACGGCAGAAGCACAGTCAGTGTTTTGCTGCCATGGGCTCCTGTCGCTCCAGACCAGGCACAGAGCAGAGTTCCCATACAGAGCACAAACTGCAACTTGTTTAGACAGGCTGCTCATTTACACTGGAAGGGGCCAGCCCACCTGTCCCAAGGGTGAGCTAAGCATAGTATTTAAGTCAGTGAAAAAATATATTCTTACCGCCTAGAGTCATTAGAGAAGGAGAAGGAATGTACACCAGCTGCATGGCCTTTCAGCTCAAAAGCTCTGGTCACCTCCCGAAAGTCTCCGCTCTTGCCAAAACACACCTCCCAAACCTTTACATCAGGGGTAAAGCCACATGATGCCACAAACCTAGGCAAAAGAACAAGCAGAGACACAGGATATTTGTAACAAAGCACTTACTTTGACCAGGCTACAGGATCAGCCCTGCAACTGCAGCCACACAGAGCTCTCTCCTACTGCCTCCTGAACTAGGCAAGGGTCAGAGGCAGCCTTCCAGGGTGCTCATGCAGAGCTTATGCATAAGGAAAGGACTCTGTGACAGGGATCACATCTGAACACCTACATTCAAATATTTGCTTTGGTCAACAGGAAAACAACTGTCACTTATTACTGAAACCAGGCTGGTAAAGGCAACGCTGTAGAATAGCACCATAGACCATACATAGCAGCAACTCCAGAGCTCATGAAAAGCTTCTAGGCGTAAGAAAAAAGGGTGAGTGCTCAGACCCCCAAACTCACTGAGCTTGGAGCAATGGCCACAGTCTTGCTGCAGCAACTGGTTGGAGACAGAACTGAGAACAAATTTTCCTGATAAATACTTTCTTGGTAATAAGGATTCTAATTTCATCATAAACTTTTAGAAGGTTTTTGCTTCACATATGCTGTTTGCTTTGACCAGCCTCTGCCATCTGAAGCCAATGCTGTCCTCTCCCTCAGCTTTCTAGGAGAAGGTTAACAGGAATAGCAGTACTGAAGAACAACAGCCAATCACCAAGTGAGACTATGTAGGTGAGAGTAAGCACTCCTGGAGGGGTTGCTCTCAGGGGCTGGGGCATCTTATTTAAAATGAGAAACCCTCAGAAAATTTTATTAAAATAACAGTAAACTGCAGATGGTCTGAGCTGATGATGTCCTCTGGGAAGGAGCAAGGCTCCTGTTTATTCTTGTGGCCTCCCACTCTTCAGTGAGAATGGCCTGGAACACCTGCATGGTCCTCACCTCCCACAGGGTGATACAGCTGCATAGGCATTGTTCATCTGATTAGTGTTAATGCTGGCCAGAACTTCACCCTTCAGGTTCCAGATCAGGATGGCAGTGTCACTGGAAGCTGTCATGATAAACTTTCCTGGGGAACAAAGGCAAAGGTTAGGAGAGCTCCATGACTGCCACAGGCTTATCAAAGGCCTGGGCCAGTCCCTAAGCAGGGCGATCTCTCTCTGTACCAGAACAGGCAAGAAAAAAAATAAAAGCAGCACCAAACTTCAAGGAATGCCAATCTCCTGGCATGGAAGTGGCTCATAAAGTGCAATACCAGAAGATTCAGCTCCTGGTTTCACATTAGCACTTGAAGCCTTCAGCTTCAGCAGTTGTCAGTGGGAAACGGGCACTCAGAGACCATGTGTGCTTCTCTTCTCTGGCACCCTTCAGATCTCATTTCCAGAGTTCAGTACTGAGCTGGTACCATAGAAGTGATGCAGCAGACTTGGATCTTCCCCAGATGATTAAAACACAACTTGAAGGGACTCCTTTTGCTTTTAAGTCATGGATTACAGACAGCTAGCTGATTAAAAGCTGTGCTATTATTATCTATGATTACTGATTTTGATAGCATTTTTGGACTCCCGCTTGTTTCCACTAGCAACGCTTCCCCCTTTTCCATCTCTCAGTCTGGACAATGGGCTTCGTATTTACCTTTAGGCTACTTGTTGCACGGTTTAAGTTTTCAGTTCCACAGCTGAACAAAGGTCTCAGTCAACATTTTCTGTACTCTTCAGTTACAGAGAAGAGCTCACATCTACTCACTTACCAGATACCTGAAGCACTAATCCATCAGCCCCCTCACCACTAACACATATGCTCCCAAGCTATATTTTAGGAGATCCCAGAAGTTCAAGACTGACCAGATGCTCCTGAATCTATGAACCCCATAGAGAAAATGTTGACTGGTTAAAACTAAACTGGTGGGCCAGAAAACAGTGATGCACCCCATGCTAAGAGAAGAGCTCTCCGCAGCAGCACCCCTGGAAAGGTAAATTAAGAGACTGTGCATACTGCAGAGCTAATACTGTACTTACTGTACTTACCCAATCAGAAAATTATTTCTTTCAATTTACTTGGTAGTAAACAAAGGCTAAAGAGTACACAGAACCAAACACCGAATCAGAAATGGACCTTGAGTATGCTGAAAACTCCAACACTTTCAACCCAGAGCAGCTGCTATTTTACAAGGAAATCAAAGTAGATCTCTTGACAGCCTAGGCAAGTAAGCAACTACCTCCGTTCCATACCTGTCTCTGCAATTCCTATGTTAATGACAGGAGCTTTGTGCTTCTTTGGGAAGTCCTCAGATGTTGCAGTGAATGTGAAGTTGCCATCCTCCTTCTTTGTCATTTTATAGACACGAATAGTCTCGCCATTTGACAACCAAACAATGAATGCCCTAAGTGGAAAGACAGTCGCTCTGAACTGTTAAATACAGGCTATACCAGTTTAGGCTAGCTGCAACATGCAAGCTAATGGGTCATTTAGTGACATCTTGGGGAAGGGATACAGTGACAGAGAAAGAACTGTAAGTATTTTACAAGGGAGCCAAGCTTGACTGCAGTATTGAACGGAAAAGCACAGAAGTTAGTACTCAGCATCTGGAAACTAGGTCCCTTCCTCTCTCTCTCTAAATTAAGCCATTTCATGAAATGCCAAGGCAGGTTTTCAGTCGATCTTCCTAGCCTGAGAGAGGCCCTCCCCAGGCACCTAGAGAAGCTCAGCAGCTCAACCCATCTGCAGGGCTTGCTGACAATGACCTTAGCAGACACCTTGCACGGGGGCAGCAACCTGGTCATAGAGATATTTGCCCTGAGCGCCACATTAAAGTAGCAGCTGCTTTCCGGAGGCAGCTGCTTTTACAAGAAACCATGAATAAGTGGTACCGTCAAGACCCTGTGAGATTCGCCGTGAGGGACGTAGCCTCCATGCAGCCCAGGGGACGCATCACTGATCCTGCTCAGGGCTTGGCCCGTGTCCCTGGCGGCTCTGTCCACAGGGTCTCCCAGTGCAGCAGTGTCCCGAGTGCTCCCTGGGCTGGGTAAGGTCGACGCACGGGGAGGCCTGGCCCTACCGGGAGTCGGGGCTGAAGCGGACGAGTTCGGCATGGTCCAGCTCCACGTTGGCACGCAGGCAGCGATGCTCACGCTCTGCAAAGTCACGGGTGCTCCAAAGGCGGACCGTGCGGTCGTCGGCACATGATGCCAGGTACTTGCCGCTGCTGCTGAAGTCCAGGCAGGACACAGAGCCGCTGTGGCCCTGTGGAGAGCAGCGCTGTCAACACCGAGCCGGACCGGAGGGACGCCGCGTCGGTACCGGG